CGATACCAGTCCGCACGAGCGTAGGTGTAGATGCCCCAGACGGACAGATAAATCATGGGTCCGGCGAACAAAAAATTGGGAATTTGTTTCCATTCGTAGTATTTGAGAAACCCGTTGTTCCAGTAGTAATGCTGCACAAAGCTGTAGAGTAGGGGAATGCGTGAGTTACACCAAGGACGTTGGTTCTGAGGACTGAGGCAGTACAAAGAGTAGCCGTACAGTTGGAATAATACGAAACCCGAAAGTGCAATAGCGCAGAAAAATGCCGCTCGACAAGTATTCCACAAGTACATGAGTAACCACCGCACACGACCATGGCCCGGAGCGAAACCCTTGGCGACAGGATGGAATAAGCGCTGGAGGGGTCGTACTATGAGATCATAAATGAAGAATCCACTATAAACGATAGAATTGGACCGAGTGAGTGACCCAAGAGAAATAAAATACGCCGTGAGAAGATAGCGTCGTTGTAGGACCAGCCGCATCGAGATAAAGCTAAACAGTGCAAATAAACTTTCGGTATAAATGGCGGACATGAACACGTTGGAAGGCGTAAAGCAGTAACACAGTGCACCCAAAAAGGCCAGCCGCTCATCCCGTAGCAGGTCAATCCCCAAGTGGTACAGGACCACCGCTGAGGCAATAAACGAACAATTGGATACCAGCACCCCGGCTAGGATAATCGTGATACGAAACCCCAACAACCCGATCAAAGGGTAGAGTACTGACGACGCTACAAACCGAATAAGTAACGGTAGCATGGGGAAAAAGGCATGCTCTTGTTCAAACACATAGTGCCCCTCTTCTGCCAAGTGGATAAAATAGATGGCGTCCCACCGTACAAACACCCGCAGCCACGGTCGAAGGATACTCTGTAGAACCTGCGGCAGGTCGTATCCATTCACTCGTTCTCTGGCGACGAAGCCGTCATCCGACCTCGATTCCCCCGCATTGACGCTGATTTTGGCTCCTTGGTTTTCCGACTCACCCGATTCAAGGGATTTTGTCCATTTTTCTGCATCGGTAGGCTTCTCCAATGCACCCAGGTCCAAACGTGGTATGGCCAAAGGCTTAATCGCATGGCTATCCTCATCGATTTGGCCAAGTGCTGTAGATAGACGGGGTAACTTGGGTTGGTAGATGAGATCAAATGAAGAATCATAGTCGTCCACAAACACGTTGGAGAGAAAGGCCAGAATAATCACCAACAACCGTGATAAAAGCGCTATCTTTGCAACTTTCCATGATTGTCGACGGTGATTAGCGAGGGCACGCATGGGTAGTTTGGTTTCGATACATGCGTAAAACGAATAGAATGAAAAAAAAAAACTCAGGAGCGATGAGAATATAAGAAATGAGAATATTATACTAATACTTATTGTACCATAACACACAAGCTTTCCTGTGTATCATTAAGAACATATCACTAAAAATAAGTAGCACTTTGTAATTATCATTAGTAGTTGTGGGTGCAAAGAAAAAAAGAGTGAACACAGAGGTTTTTTAAAAAAAGGTGAAAATCAACCTATTCACCCAAATAAGGAGCAAAGGTAAACCCAATAGCAGGAAGGAGTGGGCGACTGATTTCTGACACTGCCCACTCAATAGCTATTGAACTCTATAAAGCGGGTGTCCCACGTTCATTTCTATATACTTTCAGGGATTGCAGAACTGTGGATACTACAACACGTGTGGAAGTGTAAAGTCTGGTGAGTTTACCATGCATTTTGGCACATTATGGAACCGTACAAAAGGTATATCTACTGGTTTCCGTAATCGGATATGTAATGACTACATGTAGTTGACTCAACTCTAACCTTTACTAAACAATGCAGCACAATTTCCCTATGTAAAAATTGTTGCCCCTGCTGCTCTTTGTTTCCCATAAAGCAGGGGAAAAAGGTTCGATTTTGGAGCCGGAAGTAAATGTCAGATGATAATTTTGACAATATAAATAAGAGTTTAATTTTGTATTCGAATTAAAAAAAAGGCACTCACTCAGAGTAAATGACATGTTGGCAGCCTGCTATATAAAGAAATAGCTGTACTACGCTGGAAAATGATTACCTATCAACAAGTAGAAAAGAAAACAGGTATTAAAAATACAAACCATTGCATTGCACCATCACAATGGAATGGGGGGATCAGAGCGATACAAGTATACCCATTAAATGTCCCATACATAAAGGGAGTCCTAATAGGTTCCTTACAGGATTACTTCTTCGCTGGCAGTAGTGGATTACTAACAACAATACGTGAAATAATCACCGTGTCGCTTCGGATCAAAAATTTTAGGGAACGGCACTACATCGCTCACATCCAGACTACTTATCCTTGAGAGACGCTGTGTATTCCCGGATTTTCTCCTTGAAAAACTTTTCTAGCCTATTGGCGCACTTGTAATATACAGTGTTTTCCGCGTTGTAGGTCCGACAGTTATCGAAAATCTTTTGTGTATCCTTGGCAAATTCCCGCATCGTCGGGTACATTTCAGCCTCGACGTTACTTTCCAAAGTGGTCAAATCCATGGGTTGCGTAATCACCGTGTAGTAATCGGACACTTCTTCGGCATTGACGGGTTGCAAAAAAGACCAAGAGGCATTGTGACCCTGTAGGTCAGCCACAATTTTACGCTGGATGGCCATACAGTTATTGGCAGCGGGTTTTCGGAGCTGGGCGTCCATATCCTTAGTCCAACCACTTTCTTTGATTCCCCGGATCGCGTATGGTTCGATCACAACAGCCCGTTGGCGAGTTGTCGCGGACGGGGTTTGCCCCTTACTATCGGCTTTCTCCTGGAAACAGGTTAGCCCCGGGTAAACGATGTGGGAGGACGACATGGCCTTGGTCTTTTGTTGGATGGCTCTACGTTGCAGTTCTAGGGAATTGGCCAAGTGAAGATATCGCAATTGGGGTATCATGGCACACTGCATAAGAGTTCCCCCTTCGTAGTCTTTGATATAACCCATCCAAACCGATTTCTCAAGCGTAATCTCTTTGCTAAAACCCTGCTTTTTAAAGTACCCGATAGCGTAATTGTCAGCATACGTCAAAAAGTAACGCGCGTTGGTGAATTCCAGAGTATAGTCTTTCAAATGGTTCATCAAATGGGAACCGTACCCTTGCACCTGCTCAGACGATGAAATCGCGCAAAATACAATCTCGGCAAAACCTCGGTGGTCGAATAATCGAAAGGTGATTCCACCCACCACATTATGCTCATTTTTCACTACGGCCATGCTAGTGTGATTAAGGTCGTACACCAACCGGGCGATATATTCCTTGGGCATCTTAGGAAGCTGCTTTTGGAAAATATTTTTCAATCCCGTCAGTAAAATATTCGACTCCCGCGAACCGTCATTGCGCACTACGTGGAACCGAATAATTCCCGCTCGCTCTTCCAATACGGCCGGTTTCTCGGTTATCACCACCTTGTCCAAAGGAAGTAGTCCGTCGTGGACCAGGCCTCGTTCCGGCGATGGTCGTTCCTTGCTAGCCAACGTGTAACCCTCTTCCTGTGACTGGTTCGAGTCGGTGGACTGGTGTTGATACATGTCATGGTTGTTTGTCTCATCCAGCTGCATGGTGTCTTCGGGTTCATGTGGGTTGGTACGCGCACGTTTACGTAGTGGCACCGCGGCATCCATTGCGTCGACGGCGGACATTGCCCGTTCTGATACTTTCTTGTGCGCTTTACTAAAACAGAGATGTGAAAATTGGATTACAATGTGAAATTAAAGGAATCGACCGTAATGGTACTGCGATTGAAGGATGGTGTACAGAGGGGTAGGAACCGTACAAAGTTCTCTCTAGAAAGTGACAGACAATGTGGATGAAAAACACAGAAAATGGTTACAAAAGCCAGTTCCCATGCTCTTCTTCCAGTACCTTTGTACAGTTAAATGAAAATATTCCCACCGAAAAATTATATCCACCAAACGAAATCATACCACGTGAAAACAGAGTGGGGGGTTTTTTCATTTTTGGTAAGAATGGTGATTTGAAGAGGTCAAGCCGTGCTAGGAAAAAGGTGGAATTTGTTCTGCAGATACTTACTAGTAGTCACAGTAACAGCCTTGCTGATGCAAACTGCAAAATTTGGCATGATTTCGCTCTGGATGGGTATGTTCAGAAGTATTTTAATACGGGGTTGTCATATTAGTAAAACCGATAAAATTTAGCGTTTAATATGAAATATTTACTAGGGTACATCATTTTTGTTAAATTAGGCACTTTGGGCTTTTACAGGTGAGATTCCTATCGTATATCATTGAAATTCCTTTTTTTTCTTGTATTGCAACTAAGCGAAATCTTATTTTCTTCCATTTCAATTTATATTCTTCAATTCTGGGTGCTTCTACTGGGCCACTTTTGTATGTAATGACAGTCTTTCCTTTCTTTTTTGTTTCTTCCCTAGATTGCAGCTTCATTTATTCCTGTTTTGTCAGCTGTTTTTTTAATATAGACTATTATAAATTTTATTACCTTTTCCCCCTTTTCCAGTATTGAACCTCCTTCTGGATACCAACTCTTTTCTATGTCATTAATCTGACTCGGTAAAACTACTATTCATAAACCATTTCACACTTGTTTCTTTTCAATACATGGTTATATTTATTCCATATTTCATGCTGATCGGTAAGGTTTTCTTCATTTGCTTAAAACTTAGGCCTGCTTGAGTATGCGATGAATTTGCTTACCTGTGGATGTGGATTTTTACTAATATCATTGTAGTTTACATAACCAAAGCAGATATTTGTACGAGTTATGAATGATTTCCCTTGTTGGTGGCTGTAAATAGCCACCATGTCATTTCTAGTTTCATTCGTTTATGACTGACTATTTAGTGCTTTATATTATATCTATGTTTGACTCCGAACACACAGACAATAAATACAAAATGACAGCCTCGGCAGGAAAATGAATCTAGCCGAAAAGTCGCCAAGAAAAAAATTGCAAAAAAAAAAAATTAACCAAAAAAAGTTCAAAAAAAATTTGATCGATGGCTGCAGGGTTCGAACCTGCGCGGGGAGACCCCATTGGATATCTGTCACGAATTAGGTTGAAATTCAAGCCCAATCGCTTTAATTCAAGTCCAACGCCTTAGACCACTCGGCCAAGCCATCACATTTTATTGGGCAAA